TAAATTAACTTAAAATTTTTGAATATTTGTAAATGTGTGAATTTTATAATAATTTTATAAAATTTTCAATAATAAACTAATTTTCGTCTCCCCCATTTTCTCCAGTGTTTCATCCAAGCGATTCCTTTGCAGTACGATAACGCTGAAGATCCATTTTTGATGCTGGCAAATTTACAACGTTTACGTTTCGTTTGTCCGAAAGAGCTTGACTTTTTCAACGCAAATTTTATGCGACGCGTAAAAACGTTTTCATGTGCAATCAAACCCAACTCTTCGCCGGGGAAAAAGGGAGCAAAATAAATAAGGAGAGAGCTCAAGATGCTGTCCTATCAGCGGCAGCAACAAGCCAATCAAAATGCAATTTCCACTCGTGCACAGGACATAATTTAACGACACACATGTGAAGCTGTAACAAGGTTTTCACCCGCGTTTCCCTACTTTTCCGCGATGATTTCCTTTGCCATTTCCATCACATCAAGGTACAAATAATAAATATGCAAACAAGTTGATTCAGCGGGCTCAGCTGTGACTATGAATTTGTCATTTTGTTGGCGCATCAGGCAGGAATGATGAAAATATTTATACAAATAATGGTCGGGAGGCCCTCGTTGCGTATACGCAATGTTGACGTTGATGGGGTCACAGCACAGATATAAAGATAAAGATAAAGAGACAGCGACTTCATCAAAACAGAATCAGCTGCAAGGCTGTGCGATAAGCAAACAATTGCCCAAGGATACGAGAAAACTCATCCATAAACTGGCTTTTCCTTTTTCCTTCCAAATTAAATTCCGCAACGAAAGCACAAAAAACTCCCTTCATCAACGCCAAATGGTTTAAAATTTCACCTTTTCCTCTCTTCTCTATGCTTCTAAATTTTGATGGGCTTACACGTGTGTAAAAAGTTTTTCCTCCCTGCTGGATTTTCCGAGCATCCGCCGAGTGTTTTCCAAGTTTAAGTGTTGCCCCATTCACAGTTAATTATCCTGACGTCAGAGCGTCCACTTGAGTCTGCCGGAAATCAACAAACATTTCCGTTCAGTTGTCGGGATTGCAGGCAAAAAGGGGCAACATTAGCATAATAAATTGGCCTAGGCTGGTTTATCGAAGGCGAGTGAATAACTTCATCGCTTAGCCGTATTAATAACGCAGCTTTAATAAGGACTTGGCCAAGGATTCCACTACCGAACTGGTGCCGTCTACGTGACCAGATAACTAAGCCTTATCGTTGGTGGTAAAAATAGGGGAAAATTTATAAGAAACGTTTTTCTTCATTTGGTAGCACATAGAGAAAAAATAAATAAACTGTGGCATGAAGAGGGTTGTTATAAATCTTTAAGCACCTGAGAATTATAAACATGTGGCTTTAAACTCATAAAGATTTGTCATTTTAAATTAACTGAAGGTTTGGAATTGACTTTATCCAAAACCATTACCATAAACTGCCAAATCATATTTACTTTGTTTTTAAACGTGAGCTTAGGTTAACGTTTTTCCTCTGTGTAGGCATTTTGTTGAGCTACCAAGAATAGTTCTCCCCATGGCTACAGGCCATTGTTACAGCCTTTAGGTAATTGTGTGGCCATAAATCTCTCCTTTGGCTTACTGCACTGACTCCGGGGCAATTTAACGCCTGTCCGGGTGTTGCTACCAAATACCATTCCCTTAAAGAGACACCCGAGTCGGGAATGGATGTTCAGGTGCGGATTGAGTGAAAAATCGATCCAAGGCAATTAAGGTCGAGGGAGAAAGAAAAAAACTGAAAGGCGGTGAAACTGCCTTCAACTTTTTCAATTAGCCAGGTGACCAAAGTTATCGCTCGGAAGAAATCAAAATCAAAATTACGACCACGCAAACATCAAACCCAGAAACGAAGGAACCAAAAAAAAAACTTTTGGAAGGAGAAAACAAGCCCAAGGAACCCTTTCCCAAAAAAAAAAAAAGAGGAAGCCGTCAATAATCCCGATTAGAGCATGTGTATATGAAATATTTATGCTGTGGTCTACAAATGGAATTTCTCCGCAAAAAGGTCGTCTAAGAAGCATGAATAATGGATGGCAAACACAAAGGATCCGTCTTTAATTCGCTTTAAAGTCATCTGGCCATCTTCCAGTTCATTTTATGGCAGGCCGGGCAATCATAATGAAATCCCATTTTATTGTCCCAAAGTACGCAACAAATTTTTCGGCCTGGAATGATTTTTATCCCAGCCAGCACCTCCTTACTGGCCTTAATTTATTGTTTTAATTTTTAGTCGCCCGGCCACAAAATGGCGTCCTGAGCCCAAAAAACCGGTGAAACTTTCGGGGAAAGTGTTAAGAACTCGTGTAAATTCCATTAGGCCTAAAAAGTTTCGCGCAACGAAGAAAGGAGTATGCGATTCCAGCCAAGTGTTATAAATCAGGAGGGGAGCAAGCGCAAAAGCATCTACAAGACAAAGCAGCGGCGACAGAGTGAGCGAAATTTGGTAATTAAAAGCAACGCGTGGCTGGAATTATGCAGGGCTACAGCTATAAGCTATAAAAATGTAAATTTTCGTCCAGGACAACAAGCCCAGCCCCGAAAAACATCAACTAATCAATGTTAATTGGATTGGCGTGGGATATGTTTGCAAGTTACTCGTCGTCTTTCTTGGCTTCGCCAAAATGTGGGAATCTATAAATATGCAGCGGCAATTACGCATCTGAAACAGATTGCACCGCTCCCAAAGATAAGCGACCTTGAGCCAGCTGCCAACTGAGTGACAAGCTCATTAAGCGAGAGCGGACAGAAAGAGACGAAAGAACGCTCCCTCTGCACTGAAATAAATTTTATTTGCATATATCTTCACGAAACAGTGAATAAGCAAATTATCATATTATATCATTTTTAGGGTAAAACTTGTATTATACTTTTAAATACCGACCAATGTTTTACTGCTGTTTAAGATATATATTCTCTATTTCAATGTCAAATTAATTCATTATAATTTACAGTAAATACAATTTAACTAATTGATTATTACAACTTACTTAAATATTATTATTTCCCGTGTGATAGTTAACACATGACCGTTGCGTTATGAGAAACTGTTATCACACAGTTAATAAATCAAGCCAAGCCCCAGAGAAAACCAAAACAACACCCATATAAAGAGTGTGACCAAAAAGGTAAACAAAGTTCAAAGAGATTCTTTAGTTGGCAGCTTGTCAAATGCTCTCTCATTCTCTTTGCTTGTGTAATATTGTTTTTATTCAATTAGGCAAACAGCAATTACAAAAGCAGCAACAATAAATAGGGCTCCTACAAGCAACCCAATAGATTTGTTGTCGTTTAAGTGCACACGAGTGGAAAACGGATAGAAAATAGATCTAGGAAATAGTCGAATAACTGACACACTAATTCTCAACATCAAAGTAAAAAAGTATTCAGATTACTAACTTTCAGCGGATATATTATCCAAACTCACATTTTTTGTATTCTTAATAAGGTTTTGTGGAACACACACGCATTGCGTAGTTACACAATCGATTTGTAAGAAGATTAATCAAGAATTAAACAATTGATTGACGCAACAATAAAGACACGAGAGAAATGTTTAAAAATGAGGGACATTGAGAGGGGAGGCTAATCACATGTTGTGTGAATTAAAAGAAAATTGTCAGCATTCATTTGCACCGCATCAGTGCACTCGTCATCATGTGCGGTTAAAAAGTACACAGAAACAAAATACTTCAGTTGTTATAATCAACAAATTATTTTATCTAACTGCAAAACAAAAAAAAAACATAGTTGCTAGCCGATACTGCTTTACATATTTAAGAAGGATTGTTTTGCTTCTGTTTTTGTGGCCAATCTTTTATTTTATGTGCACAAAAGAAAAGGCATGTCGTCACTTAATTTTATTAAGTTAAAAGAACGTGTCTGATGATGCTAATTCCCATGAGCTACCGAATTAACGAATTTATTTGAGAAGCGACACGAGCCTCTAAACACACACAAAAAGGTGCACAATTAAAAATGAATTTGTATTTTTTGGTAAAACAACTAAACACACCCCTACCAAAAAAGAGTGTATACTAAATACAGAACCAGTCTACCTTTTTTGTTGATTTACTCGAAATTCAGGCAAGTGTGAAACTCGGGTAAAAAAAATAATAAAATAAAAAGAAGATGATGGCAACAGAAACGGAACAATGCACTAATATTTGCTCATACACGATTAAATTAAGTAAATACAAAATCGTGCGGGGTACTTACCAGTCGAGCTGAAAAAATGGGGATTTGAACGAGGGGTTACTGGGGTTTTCGAGCGCAGCGGTGCTTCTTCATTAGAGACATTGTTAATTTATTATTTATTGTTGACCCGCACGTGGACTCACGCAACGATCATAAAAATAAAATGTATTTTATTTGGAAAACCTCAAAATAAAAACGCAAATGAAAAAGGCACGAAACGGAGTTGTTTGTTTGCTCGACAGACGGAGAAAATATCGTATGGATTATGAATATGGAAATTAAGGGGAAAATTCGATAGCGGGATGCTAATTTTGCCCTGTTATCAAATTGAAAATCTGGGCCAAAGCCCCACGCATTCGGTGACAATTCAATAAATGACGGATTAGAAAACCAAATCGATGCGAAAAAAGAGAGGAAAAGCTTACATAAAGCGCCAATTGAGGCGCAGAATTCTTTATGCAAATGTCAAGCACAAGCACCACCCACCACCCACTCCCCCATTGCTCCCCGTTCAAGGCTGTTCAAATATTTTGAGGGGGAAATTAAATTCGGTCGATTAAAGATGGCAGGAATAAAGAGAATTTCACTTCCCGCTTGATGGCTTAATTAAAAGATAAAAAAGAATGCCACACAAAATGTAATGAGCAAATATCCGGCATTGTTCCGGTTCAATGCAATAATACCACCCCAAAACTGGCTCAATTCGGTCTCTTTTGGGACCCGTTTTCTACGATTAGTATTTATGGCTTATATCGAATATATATGAAATCTGACTGACTCACCTTATGACGTAGTTAACGCAAACAACGCTCTGTGGCTTTAGTTTATCGTATACGATCGTGGCCTGGCTAAGAATCCAGCAATAGCCACCATATTTTCCCAGAAATCGGTAGCGACAGGTCTCACCCTGGCCTTTGCTCAGCACTAGAAAGATAAAAGACCATAAATCAAGGAATTAGTCGGTGAAACTAATTGCAATAAATAAGTGAAAAGTCCCCCAGTAAATGTGGTTCAAGTTCTGGTTTAAGTTTGTTCTATGTGCTCTTGGCAGAGAAATCATATTACATTCGCATAATAACCGCCACCGCAAAAACAATAAACAAAATCTTCTGCGGTCTACCGACACGCCCATTAAATGTGTCATAGTCGAGACAAGAAGCTCTTGAACTAGATACAACCCGAATCGGTTACATTTTGGCAGATTGCTGGTACTCCAGAGATCATTTGGCCTAAAAAGACAGCCAGGAAGTATTATTATGCTTACCAGTAAGGATGGTAATTGGTCTACACTGAAAAATACTTTAAAATTATAATTTTAAAATAGATTTTAATAAAAAAAAAATGATTATTATGGCAATCGAAACAGTCATAAAAACCTTAAAAACCGCTTAGAAAAACATGATTTATTTTAAGAAGTTTGTTGTTTAAAATTGAAGGTTTTTGTTTTAGTTAAATAACGTTACACTAAAAACGAACTGAAACGAATTTCTTGAAATATATATTTCAGTCAAAGCTATTTTAATTCAAAATAATTGTTTTTGACTTAAATTGGATCTTGTTTTTAGTAGTAAAAATAAACCTTAATCAAGGTTTCTATAACAAACATTTTTCCCACCAGTGTTTTTCTGCTGGTTGGCAAATTGTCAAGTCTCAAATTACGGCGCCAAAAGCGCTGGGGCATAAAAATTAAATAATAGCAACTCGCTGCGTTGAAAACGTAGGGCGAAAAAAGTGGGCGTGGCAGGAGGGTCTTAGGCAGTTGATTGAGCCTTTGCCTGTGCGAAGAAGAGAGACAACAGCTGTGCCGAAAACGTTGCCAAGTAATTTGGCTCAACGAGGACGCCACATAAACTCGATTTTAATTAAAAGCGTCTCCCAAACCTGGAAAAAATAGGAATAAAATAAATATAAAAAGCAAACCGCACACACGCTTAGGTAAAGCTTTTATCTGTGTTTTTGTGACAACCTCTTGGCCCGAAATCATTTCAATCAAATTTTTATGGACGCCACTGGCAGCGACAAGAGCATTAAATAAATGATGAAAATTCATAGGAATTTTGGGAAAAGCAATTGAAATTCATGGATGCTTTCAGTCGAAGGTCCAGCATTTAGTATTAGCTGGAATGTGTAGGTCACAGGTGCTCGAAACAGGGTCATATCCGGTTTAAGTCGTAATAAAAGTAAATTTGCATAAAAACACAAAGAATTAATTAAATTACTGAAGTTTGTAAGTGCCGAGCGACCTTTGCTGCAATTAAAACACAAATTGTAATAACAGTGGGATTTATAAAGGTAAGGTATTAAACAAGACCTTACTTTTTTTTGCTTAAAAAAACTATTGAAAAATTAAAACAATTCTTTTATGGTAAAACAATGTAATATAGTAACAATTTTTTAAAGTTCTGTGGTGGTAATACACAAAAATCCAGAATAAATTGTGGTAATAACCTAATGAAACCCACTGTTTCCCATGATAAGTCTCAAACAAAACATCTCACTCTGAGTCGTTCTTTCATTTATTCATTCAGTTAATTCGAAATCAGCAGCAGAAAATTAGTTTTTTGCTTTTCTTTGCTAGTCTGGCTTAGTGCTCGTGTATTCATCCCAAAAAATAGAGAGAGAAAATGGCGGGAAAATGGGGTTGGGTAATTATGCGGGGTCATTAATAAGACAAAATCTAAGAAGGCCGAGCCACTGCCGCCTTGAAGTTCTCAATTTCTGCTGACAGCTCAGTGAGATTGATGTGACCCGGACATATGTGGAAGTTAGTCAAGTTAAATCCTTGAGATGAGGAAAAGTTGCCCCTGGAAAATATGCTACAGAAAAGTGACAACCACATCCTGAATCTAAGAGTTGGTGACTTTTTTGTTAACAAAAAGTAAATTCAACTCGTTTTACCAAGAGCTTTGCAACATAAACAATATATTTATAATAGCTTAAGAAGGCTTCTTCAATTATTTCAACTAATAAGTATTTTGTTAATTCAATAACAATGTTACACTGGAGATGTATATAAAATGATTCACAAGTATGATTTATTTACAATTTAAATATTCTGAAAAAAAAAAACTTTATAAATCTTCAAACAATTATTTAGAATACCTTTATTAATTGATCATTTGTTTTTTAAAAAAGTTATATGTATAAAGACATTTTTTAATTTTTAGTTTTCGTATTTTTAAAATACATAAATCTAACCAGAAAATAGCTAAAACAAGCAACTCCGCCCCAGAGCTCAGACGATTGCCATTTGGCAGTGTTTATGTGGAATTAGTAAAGTGAGCAGACAGAAAAGCAGCAGCGGCAGCAACAGCAGCAGAAAAGTAGGAAAAGCAACTGCAGTTGCGGCAGCTGCAGCAGTGAACTTGATTTGCCCTCAGCCAAGGACTTTTCCCGGACTTTTGCCGGCATTTTGAGCTTTAGCTTGAGCTTGAGACGGAAAATATTAAAATATCTACGCGCGGCAGCAAAGATCATTTATCAGCAATTTTTTAACAGCATTCCTTGGCTGCCATTTGGAGCCATTGCCGCTTTCACAATTTATGAACACGAATGCAAACCGCTTTTCGCATGGCAATGGCCATGGCCATGGCAGTGGAATTGCCAGGATTCGGGCGAGGGCAAAGGGACGCGGGCAAGGAAGGAAGGAAACTGGCCATTTGTACAAATAATCAAACAGAGGAGTTGGTAAAAGGGATAAAACCAGACTCTATGCGAGTGGAATGCAAGACAAACATCAAAACCGCATTCAAGGTTATGTATCAAGCGGGATGAGCACGGAATGCCCAGGATGCTGGTGATTCGAAGGATGCAGGATGCACAGGATGTAGGATGCGCACACACACACACACACACACAATGCATGCTCAGACACGCTCGAGTACACGGGTAAATCCTGGCAGCAACACAACAGTAAATCATCATCAACGCAGCGCACGAACCGAAGGTTGCAAAGGGAACAGGTGCAGGAGGTCCTTAATAAGGTGAATCTATTGACTGGTCAGCTTTGGCACTACAGTTAAATAATTGCATCATTAAAATATTTTATAAATAAATATTAAATGGCTATGGATTTAATTTACGAACTAAGCTTTAAAACTAAATTACCAAAATATTAAGTTATTTACTTGTTCAGTATAAATCTCTTCTTTTTCTGGTTGATTCACTTCCCACATGTCAGAGTTCACTGTACCCCATTCGTTTGCTCATCCTGATTGCTGACCAGAGTCCAGAGTTGAAAGCAAAGAATGGAGAGGATGGGTCGAAATCACATTGGCACAAGTGGATAAGGAAATAAATGTTTGGCTTTGGCTGCCCAAGGATGTGCGCATAAATCAAGGATTTGTTTGCGGATTGTTTCGACTATTCTCCGTAGCCCAAAGGTTCTTGACTTGGAGCGTCTTAAATTTAGACGTAGCATTGACCTTTTGGCCTTCGCTTTGGCCAACCACGTGGCGTATGCCTAATCTGTCCTAATTGAATTAAGCCGTGACATAATCCCCGATCCACCAGCCAACCAGGCTTAAAGTCAATATGTGCTGAGGAATTTATGCAAATATCGCTCTCTATTTCTCTATTTTTACTCCGGCTTATTGAAAAGTAGCTGGGGTGGATGTGTTCATACCCCGCCAGTCGTGTGGAAAATTGCATTTTACCACCTTTTTCTTTGGCAACCAAGAAAGGACATTACACAGGACGACGCTGGCAGGGAGCAGGGATTGCCAATCCCAGTTAGTGGCCAATGACTTGAAAGGGTTTCAGGCATAATGCAAACTTACTGCCCAGAAATAGAGACTTAAAGCTGGCCATTATAAGTTAGAGTTGCCTGCAGTGCACATAAATGGGTTAATGAATGTTCCAAAACCTCTTATCCCTCTTTCTTACTTTTACAAGGAGCTGGACAAGTTTTACTCGGGGGGGCGGAAAATGTACGCAGTTTAGGCCAAGTTTTGTGGTTGTAGGGGCGAATAATTCAAGTATCCTTCACACATGTGTGCCGCAGCTGGCCAAAGGGAAGGACATTCTCCGGTTTTTGCTGGACCGCCCGCAGCGAGGAAAGTCGACAAGTTTGTCGGGTTCGATGGAGCCCATTAAAAACTACTCAAAATGTCAGCGGGAATATAAACCACACGGGGGATGTGGAAAAGGACGAGCCACAAAATGTAACAAATTTGCTTAATTTGCCGTCCTAAAATACAGTTTTATGTTCAACCCAAGAAAATGAACAGTGAAATATTCTGCACAGGAAGAATATCCAGTATAAATAATAAATGGTTCTATTTCAACGCCAGAAAATTAACAGTACAATTTCTGCACAAAAAAAAATGTGTTCAAATGACAACAGTGAATATCTAGTATATATATGTATAACTTTTGTGTAATCCACAACTATTGGCAAAAATATTATTCAACAATAAAAACTAAGGGTAAACATATATTGCGAAATTGCACATGAAATGTAGATTACCTTTAACAAACAGTTATTTTCTCTGTGTGTCAAAGAAAGATATTTACAACTGCCGGTGAAAAAGCGGCGTAAAAAACAAAAATCAAGGAAAAGCAAAGGAGGAAACAACGGAAGTTGAGAAAAAAAAAGTTAATTGAAAACAAAAGTCAAAGAATTTGCATATTTATTTGCCGCACAACCTCAGACGTCGACACAAGCCACGAGTCAATATTTATTTATGCGTGCGGAAAATTTAAATGACTTAAAAGCTGACGAAGCAGAAGAAAACTAAAATGCAGCGAGGGCTTTGAGATTTTCAGCACCTCTTCTTTGCGATCTCTTTGTTTCGCATTAATTAGAATTTAACAAAAATAAATGCTGGGTAATTGAAAACTTTCTCCCTCTGCCCACAATTCTCCGCCATTATGCTCATTAATTCTATTCGCCGGGCAAAAATACATATCTCCGCCTCCCGCAT